CTCAGAACATTTTATATTGTGGTCACAAATTCAGTGTTTGCCTCAGCTCTCATTTTGGAGAGCCAAGTGGTGAAATGATCCTGGTTCTTTATTCACATGCTGCCTGTGGTGTGATGGGCCACATGGCCTGGTGTGGAAGGAGCTTTGTTTCTTTATTGCAGCATGTTATTCCTGGTCACACCCAAACAGCCATCCCAAATTTCTCCAGAAAAGAAGAAACTTTCTTTTATATATTTGTTTTTAAAAATACCGACCTGTCATTCTCTAGGGCTGGGCCTGACTGAAAAAAAAATGTAAACAAAGATCTTTTTTTAGGTTGTGGCTAACAGGAAAAAAAGGCATGGCAAGAACTGTATGAAGCAGCTAATTGGTATTTTTAAGGGAGAAGAGGGAGAGAGAACAGAGTGTGCGGAAAAGGAAGATGGCATCAAGATCTGATGTAACAACATGATTTTTTCCTACAGAACAAAACTGTGATCTGAACAATACAAACATACGTTTCTAGAGTTGCTTTATTGTATGGGCAATTGCTTTTGTTGCTTCAAATAGATTGTCTGGTCATAGAGACGCGGCAGAGATTATTACTGATGTTCACAAGCCTGGCAGCATAACATGGGGCTTGGCCATGAGTAATGTATGTAGTCCTTGTTAGAGGTAAAAGAGCAGAGAGTCACAATTGTAGCACTAGGCTGCAGCAGTTTACTTCCAAGTATAAGATAAAATTCCATTTAATCTCTGAGGAAATGTGCTCATTTAATTTCTAACTGTTTTTTGTTTCTTGTGGTTTTCTTTTTCCCACAGCTCGCACCTTCCCTTCCATTACAAGAAGATTTTGTTTACCACTGGAAAGCCATCACCCATTACTACATAGAGACCTCAGGTAAAAGCAGAAAGCACTCTGACTTTTTCTCTTCGTTGGGAAAACTAGAATTCCCAATCTCAGTGTTTTTATAAAGATTAAGAAATTCTAAAATGACTCATGTCTTTTATCAAAATACAAACAATAATAATTAAGAATATTGTGTACCTCCACCCCTTAAAAGTAGGCATGAAGATTGAGGGAGGGTCATTGTTTCCTGAGCACCATGGAGAGAACTGTACCTTTCCATGTCTGACCCAATTTCTGTCTTCACATACTTTGTTTAATCTAAACAGACAGCTACAGAAATGTAGTCCCTGGTGTTAACCTTCTTGTTGGTTTGCATCACAGATTTGCTTTCCAAGATTTTAACAAAAATAATTTTGTGGTCATAGACTTTACCAGACATGTATGAATTCCATGTGCTTAATATTAGTTATTTTTCTCTTTAGTGTCTTGTCTTAATGAAAGGTATTTTGATAACATAGCTCTGAAAATTGAATTCATGAGCAGATTTACAACACATTTTGTTAAACCTTATCCAGACATTATTCTGCTCTTCTAAAAAAAGGATATTCTGAAGAGATATGGCCATAGGTGCTTTTTCTTAAACTTTCCTTTGTTGTTTTTTTTTTTTTTTGTTGCTTTTTCTTAAACTTTCCTTTGTTGGTTTTTTTTTTTTTTGCTTCAGTTATGCAACATGTAAATTTTTAGTTTTGGTCCTAGTTATTAAGCTATTATGTTTTAAAAGTGAATGTTGCCATGCATATTAGCATATTATCAAGCATATTAGTTCTGCATTTCTGCTAGAAGAGGTGTGGAATCTGTGTATGTGTCTGGGACTGGTGATCTTGTTTATATCAATATTTACTGGTACAAGCTGCAACTTGACCCTTGGTTCTAAATAACCATCTTTTGGAACACTATGTGATGTTTCCTAAGGTGGAAATGACAGGGTGGCAGGGGAAAGCTGATACTTGCAATGACGTGATGCATAATAAGAGCTGACGTCTCTCCCAAACTTTGAGAAGTCTTGTGAAAAACAAGTTTCCACTCAGTGGATGTATTTCTGTCCTCTGCAGTAGGAGCAGAATTATGCGTAGGAGATTCAAGCAAAACACTCCAGGCTAACTGGAGGTTGTGGCAGAGGCCAAAATCACTCTGACATGGCAGTTTTCCTGTGTGATCCTGTTGCCATTTGCATGCAAGTGACAGTTATTTTTAGATTATTGCATAAGAAGTAGTAACCATTTCCCTAGGTAGTGGGATAGTTGTTCAAGTGGAATTTAGCTGAGAAAAATAAGAGGGAAATCATCACGTGTGGACATGCTCTACAATTTTAATGCCAGTTCCCACTGCCAGTGGCATAAATCCACTGCAATTCCATGACTTTAGTATAATGAAATCAGTCTTGCTGACTGTCAAACTTAATAAAGTTTGACAGAATTCTGTCTCAGTGCAGGAAGTGTATAAGAAGAATTTAAAGACTTTTGAAGAATAAACAGCACAGAGTTGGATGTTCTTTGTTATCATTGGAAAATCCACTCAGTTATCTAGTATGTAAAAGAATGGATCAGCTGCAAATTAAGCTGATGTTCATAGATTTGAGAATACTATGTGAAGAGTCGAAGAGGAAGTTATCAAGACAGGGTGGATACTAAGCAGAAGACTGAGAGTTGAACCTTTCTCTCCCTTAGCTTGGTTTCTGGCTGTAGGAGTGTTCCTTTTTGACTGTGTAATTAATGCATGCTTTGAATTTTGGCATTTCACCTTTTCCCCATTGTAAGGTTAGGTACTTGTCCAATGCATACTCCAGTTTACATTTCCAGATACAGTTCTGACAATGTGATTTAAGACATGTTGAAAACTTATATGTGTATGTAAGATTCTTTCAATGAGTGGTCACATTTTAAAATCTTAATTTTGTAACTGAACTTAAGAAAAGTGAGGACAGCATTTTAATCATTCTTAATTGCCCATCTCTTCTATTTAGATGACAAAGCTCCTGTGACTGATACCAACATTCCTTCTCACCTGGAACAGATGTTGGATATTCTAGTTCAAGAAGAAAATGAGAGGGAATCGGGTGAAACAGGACCATGTATGGAATATTTGCTACATCACAAGATTTTGGAGACACTCTACACACTAGGAAAAGCTGATGTAAGGACTTCTCAGCAGAGCAGATTATCCTTTGTGTGAGCTCCTAATTGTAATAGGGACTGAAGTTCTACAGTAGGTGGTAGTGTGGGACACTGAACTCTAGCAAATAGCTGTTTGCATATGTTACCAGCATATTGCAAATAACAGTCTCTTACAGGAGTAATCAAAGTGAGACAGCCAGTGAGATACTAAGAGAGAGCCCTGAGATTTGTTACTCTCCACTCTGATAATACTGACTGTCAGACTAGGAGTAGGAGAAATGTTTTTCTTCAGTCTAGAGTTTTCCTGGCTTCTGCAAGACAGTATGATCCCTCTTTGTCCTTTGTTAAGTGTTGGAAGAAAGGTGCTGTATGAAATACAAATTTTTGATGTATTTTTCTGAGTATGATGAGTTATTGCTCAGAAGGACTTCCATGTCAGAAAGCATTAATTGAAGCTGATCAATCCCCAGACAGCTTTCACATCCAAGTCTTTGGTATGAATGTAGCCCTTGGCAATGTTGTCTTGTTCTTCACATATCTCCTTTGTAGCACACATGACATTACCTTTGTAGTCTTGGTGCATTCTCTTTCTTAGCAAACTTCTAAGCTAAATTGTGTGGGGTTGGATGGATCATGAGGTGAATTATCTTGGCAGCCCTTGTGCTAGAACTTTTTGTATCATGATGCAGATGGAATTAGGAAAACATGGTATATCCTGTTCCAAGAATAAATGGAACTCTCCAGGGTTTCATTTTCAGTCAGTCTTCTACACATTGTCATGAGTTTTTAATTTTACGTAAATAGACAACATAGGATACTATCTGTATGAGCCTGGGGTGTTCCTTGCTCTGGAAGGACCACAGATCTGCAGTTCCAGCTGTCCTACATTCAGGCTAAGATACCTGTTGTATGGAATTGCTTGCTCAGAAATACAGCTCGATCAGTAATCTATAAACTTTGTCAAGAAATCAAGGCGAAGTGGTGACATATGAGAAGTGGGTAATTAGTAATATGTTTCTAAGAGCTGAGAGAAGTAATTTTGTGCTCATGCAAATACGCCTGTAGAAGCAATTCTTTTACAGCCTGTTTTTACACTTTGCCACTTGTGAGTTGATAGATTTGAAGTAAACACACAGTTCAGTGCTTGCAAGATGCTGCAAAGATCTGGTGCAAAAAATTATTTCCTTTCACAGCAATCAGCTAGACTTACTGCGTTACTGTAGATGTGCCCTGATGGTACAGATTTTGCCATTCTATTCAATGACAACTCAGTGATGACTAGGGATTAATAATCCAGGGATAATTACTTTGAAAGGAGAGCCAGGTTAGGCAGTTGTCATTCCTGGCTGTTGTCACCCCTGCTCTATTCAGCTGTGCAGTGAACCAGATGAGGGAAATTATGTGGGTTAAAATTAATCTATGGAGTAACAACATTTATTAACATGGCAGAACACGTTAGATTCAGGGGATGTAGCTAGAAACAAAGGTACATAAAAAACCACAAGCCATCAGATCTCATGGAGATAGGAAAGTACTTTCATGTGATGTGGTGCATGAGGGACAGTGGAACAAGGGTCTGCATGTTCCACAGATATTTGTGATTTATATTCTGCTCAGGGAAAGCAACAGCTTTCCCTTGTCCTGGAACATCTGTGCATTTATAAATGCTTTATCTGTCTGAGGTTAATTGCTTGTGACTTTAAGAAACCTTTTGTAGATATGAAGATGTTTATAGTTTATCATTCTGTATTTGCATGTACAGACTCACCAAATGGATGGATTTTATGGCACAGTACCTTAAAAGAGAGCTGACCTGCAGCAAATTAATTCCCAGCTAATTTCCTCTTATCACTGTAATGATATGGAATATTTGCTGGAAAGATTGGTAGAAGTCTACCCTAGAGCAATTAACTGAAAGTATGAATAATTTGAAAGAGAAAACAGTAAAGAGATGCAACATTTTTTGTTGATCTCTGTTGATAAAAGTAATGTGTTAACAGATGACGTTTTTTAAAAAATACTTTTGGCTAAATTATTGCTGTTTAGCCATTCTGAATGACAAATTTGCATCTCTGTTTTTCTGCACATTTGTTATTTTTTTGTTGTTGTTCATCTGTTTCTGTTTCAGTGTCCTCCAGGAATGAAACAGCAAGTTCTGGCTTTTTATACAAAACTTCTTGGAAGAATACGACAACCTCTTCTTCCCCACATAAATGTGCATAGGCCAGTGCAGGTACTGTTCAGACTTTAAGCAAAGTATATTTTTGCAGACAAGTTTCTTTTATTTTGCTGTAGTTGATGTATTGATGATTAGAGCCTTGAACTGCCACTGCTTTGCAAGTCATAAATAATAAAGAAAACTTGTTTACAGCAAATCTAGAGCAAATGTTCATGTCAATAATCATACATAATTGTTGTGTATATATGGAAGAATAATTCAGTCCATTATTCCTAGAACAAGCTATAACTTACTCTTTGTCTTAATTGTTCACCTAATGTCACAGAAATTAATCAGGCTCTGTGGTGAAGTTCTGGCAACACCAACAGAAAATGAAGAAATTCAGTTTCTCTGTATAGTATGTGCAAAGCTGAAACAAGATCCATACCTGGTCAACTTCTTCCTTGAGGTGGGTAAATCAATTTCCCAGGTATATTTAGTGTGTCACAGACAAAACCTAGGAGAGAACTGGAGGTATCACATTGTGCTTCATAGCTTAGTTTTCATTCCATCTGTGATTGCTTTTTCCTTTGATATGAGAAATTTTGTTGTTTAGGTGCATATTTTGCTTCCAGAAACTTGATGCATCTGATTTTTACTAGCATTTCATTCATGGCTCACCAATATACCTGTCTGAAGTCCTTATCCTTTGTAGTGAAAGTGCCTTTACATTAGGGATATGAACTGTTCTGTAGAACAGTGTGTGAGGAAGACCTTGGAGTTCTTGTGTAGTTTTGCCTTCAGCCCTTTAAAGGCTAAGGGACAGATTGCAGGGGCCACTGAAACCTTGCAAGTTGCTAAGTGTTCTGCAGGACTGGGCCCTTATTTGGTAGTGGCACATATGTCCTAGCTGCAGTGCCAGCTCACAATCTACACTACCTCCTATCTGTAGGAAAGCCAAATGTCTTTACTGCCTCTTCAAACTTAACATGTGGCCTTGATGAAATCAGAGTGGGAGGAGAAACAGTCTTGAGACTGACTTTTTGTTCCCATTTAGAAGTATTAAGTTTGCTTAATGAAAGTCCATTTGGAAATGCCTTTTGCTCCCACTTGCATGTTTCCTGTGGTGACATAGTGTCTATTAAGCATGTGTTGCATAGGTGAAAGAATGTTGATAGAGTGTCCTCCAGGAATATTTTACAAGATTTCCACAAACAAGATCAGCAGAGGATGAAAACCTTCGAAGATACATTATTTTCCATTGAGTATGTGATTATCACTTACAAGTCAGCAGTAAAGAATCCATCTTGAGCATTTTTTGCCTTAATTAAATATCATCCCAGTTACCATTGTATTCACTGGAGTTATGCAAGCAATGGAAATGGTGTAAAGATTGAAAAGTCAGTGTGTAAACATTAGAAACACTCAGAAGCAAACTACTACATATGTTACATGCAAAATGTGGTAGAATTCCAAAACAGGATTAGTTTGAATGTTATTTATGTAAGTTGGATGGTTTAAAAAGAACCTTCTGAATTACTCTTACACTCAAATAATGCCCATGAAATCAAACCTGAGAACCTCAATCATAACAACCACAAGTGTTTTGTCAGACATTATTAATGTTCTTCCCCAAAATAGCAAGATTCCAGTATTAAAAAACAGACATGGAAAACCAGACGATCCCAAATTTCAAAGGGATCTCTAGTTTCACAAAATGCTGGCTGTGGAGTTCAGGCAAGCCGAGGAACATTTCTTGTAGCTCCTGTTTCCTTGATGACATTGTTCTGAATGTTATACCCCGAGTCATTTGTCTTCACAATTGGTGGTTCTTTCCTGATAAGGCAGGTAGAGTGCAGAACTGTCCTTTACTCGATTAGACTATCCTGGTTGTTCACATCTAGGCCTCTTAGAGGTGCTGTTGTTGTAACTTGGTCGCTGGTTCTGACCTTCCAGTGCCTGAAAGGGAGAATTTACAGAATGCTGTGTGGCATTTCTCTCTCAAATCTCCAGCACTTACAAACCAAAATGCAGATGGTTCTCTCCAAAGAGTCTGTATCTGTTAGTTTTGCTTCCTCTTTTGGCAGTTCCTGATCAGTTTCTACAGGATTTTATGAACATAAAAGCTGAATATGTACAAACCCAGGATTTCCTTTGTATGATTACATCTGAAATAGTTTGTTGATAGAATGCTGTTTATATTCTAGTAAAACCTTTCACCTATATTGCTTAACCAATAAGGCTACATGATATAACTGTATCTCCTGGGCAAGTTATGTCTGTTGTGGAAATAAGAACTGGAAAAACTTCATTCTACTTTTCTAAGCCTCTAAAATCCCTATACTAATTTGGCATTAATGTATTATTTTCTTTAAACTGAATTTTCCCAGTTCTTATGTAGAGAGAAAGAACATGCATTATAATGTTTAATTTATCACCTCTACCTCAGTGATATTTTGTGCTAAACTTGCCCCATCTCATCTCATCCCATCTTAGGTGAGATACTCCTTGCAACTGGTTGTTCCATTTGATTCTCTGTGTTTCAATTTCTGCTCATGAGACCTTAAAAAAGTTCTGATAGAGTGTCTGCTAAAAGGTTTTGCCTTCATTTTATATAATGAACAATAGTTTCACTCTTCACTTCTACTTTCAATACTACAAATTACCAGCTTTGCATTCCTCACCAGAAATTCAGTGGATCATCAGCTGTGATATCACTTGATTTTTTTCACAGAATTATTTTTAAATCTGTCAGAATGTAGATATGGTCTCATCCACCATGGATTATAAAACTTTGATAGTTACATATCACAGAAATATTTTTACATTGTATTTTTACATTGTCTGCTCTCTGTTGATGCTGAATTCACAAGTACTTTGTTTAGAAAGCATTGAATATGTGTTTCATGTAACTTTTTCTATTAGGTTGCTCAGGATCCTGTTTTGCACCTTTGCAGGAGGCAGGTGAGCAGCTGAGCTGCAGAACTGCATGATTAGACAATAGGAAGCTTAAATACACACAAAATTTCTGCCTGTGTGTTGCTCAGTGTACAAACTGCTTTGTGTCATCTGCTAATGTCAGAGTAACAAGCTATGGACACATCTGTAGGGGCATTCAAGCATTTTAGTTCTCTCCTAGATGCCTTAGCTAAATAAACAAATGACAGAAGAGTCCAGACATGAGGTAATAGGCTAGTGTAAGAGAAAATAAGTATTTTACAAAATACTACCCAGTTTTTGAAAAAAGTAGCTTTTCTCTTTGACAACTCTGCCTGCTACCTGAGTCGTGCCAGCAACAGTGTGTAATCCTGGACTGAAATACAATTCCAGCCTTTAGTTCTGCTTTGTGTGCAAGGGTCATTGTGATTCAGATACTTGTGTATTGATAAAATACATTGAAGGAGTAATTTTTCTACTGTAGTCAAAAATCATACTTATTTCATAGCATGCAGTGTGCTGCTTTTCCCACTGTTTTGCCTCTCCAGGGAATTGGTTCTCTGAGTGTATCACAATGCTCAGTGCAAATTCCCCACAATGAATGCACAGCAATCAAGTGTTCACAGCAGTTCTCTAGTTTGCTGCCTGTGACTGTCATGTAGTCAGTCCCTGCTGGTTTGTATGTGCTAAATGCCATTAACCCCAAATGGTTAGTCTTTTAAATTATTAATGCTTGAGATACATTTGTAATAATATCGGAGTTAGCATAGAAAAGAGAACCATTTGGATTTATAATCTCACTACTGTACTCACTTGAAGAAAATGTCGTGTGCTGCAGTCTAATTTATGATTCCAATGAAGTATTATTCACCTGCACTTATGCCAGAAGAACACTGAATTCTTGCCTTGCTGTGAGTTTCTTCTTGGTATCACAGATCACAAATTTGAATGTCTTTTTATGTGCTGGAGACAGATTTATGGGAAGACAGATGGGTTGCTTTTTTTCAGGCTAAGCAGAGATGCTTTGGAGCTTCTGAAAACATTCCCTGTTACTTGTTATAGTATCCAGTGCCCATTGCTAACTTGTAGTGGCTTCTGTCCATTCAGTCAACTCAACTTTTTCTTCATGACAGACACAATTTGAGAGTACTCAGCTGTCTTAAAAGGTGTTTTTTTCCCTTTCCCGTTGAAGATAAAATCTCAGGAAATTTAGAATTATTTTACTTCTGTGATTCCAAATGGAAATAGTGTTTCAGACATTGGATGAAAATGAGGCCTTGACCTAGAAAGGGATCTTTTAGAGCTTGTGCTAAGGTGTAAAGATGCACCCACGAAGTAAATGAAGGGCCTCTGTCAAATATTATGTAAATAAAGTGAGAATGTGCCTCAGTGGTGAAGAGAAAAAGTTGCCATCTCTTTGTAAATAGCATATTCAGCCCTGAAGCAAAATGGTACAGGGCTTAAGAGAAATTTCAGCAGATTTCAAAATGTCCTGGGTTTAAAAAACACCCACACTACCACAGCCCATGACATTCTACATGTGGACTATATTCAGCCTTGACTACTTCAAATGCCAAGGTAAAAAAAAAATGCTTTGAGTAAATTTCTGCTTCAGGATGAACAGTAATTTCAACCATATCCTTCCCAAAAATGCTTTTCAGAATAAGTTAAAAGCAATGGCTTCCAAAGGATCGGCCAGTGTCATCACAGAAGACATGGTAAAAGACCAAGACTCTGTAACAACAGACACAGGACAGCCTGTCCATCCTGAAGAGATGCCCAGTGCTGCTGGAGCTGAGCACATGGGGGAAGATGAGCTCCCACAACAGGCAGATGATCTCTCTTTCAGTCTGGATGAACTAAATGTCACATCATCACCTGAGCCCTCCACTGTTTGTCCAAATCAAGACTATAATTTAGTGAATTCTCTACTAAACCTCACTAAAAGTCCTGTGAGTTGTTTTTTGGTTTGTTTGTTTGTTTATTTTTCCATTTCATGTGATAAAATTAAAGAGTTGGGGTACTGTGTGAAGTGGGCAGAGGGAGTGAATATACATACATGTATATATATATATATACACACATATACACACTGTATTTTCGCTATAAAAGTAAAGTGAGGGGTTTTTGTGGGCAGTTTTTGTAAAGTGGCAATATTATTTTAGAAAATTAATACTAAGTGTGTTGATGTAAGTGGGTTTTTAAAATAAATTTATATAGGGTGCTGCATGTTTCACAGACAAGCTACACAGGATAATCAGAAGGTTAAATATATCACAAAATATTTTAAAAACTACTTTCAATTGTTCTGACTCAACCAAACCCACTGTCTTCATATTGGCACTGGGCTATCTCTAGAAGTTTGTTTTCTTAAAAAAAAGACTGTGTCTTACCCAGCTCCATCCTCAAATTCAGACTCAAATTCTTCCAGAAAATTTAGAGGAGGGTTGGGTAAGCCTGTAATTGCTTCAGCAGTGTTGAGAGCAGAAAACTGAGTCTACATCTGTACCTCGTTACTGTTAGGTGATTAGTTTACACAGTCTGATATCTTGGTCTCAGGCTGACCCACAGCACTAGTTCTGTCAACCAAAAGGTTGCAGTTGCATTCTTAGTATTTGACATAGAATCAGGTGAGATTCTTTATTTAGTAACATCCAGATTCATTAGAATTAAGTTTTAATGACTGACAAGTCCACAGAAACAAGTGCATTCATTCACTGTGGGGGAGTGGGGAGGTTTTATTTGGGAGATGTTTGCTTCTTGCTTTCAAGTGAGCTTCATTCACCCTCTGATTAATTCTTCCCTGCCCTTCTGCCAGGACGGCCGGATAGCAGTGAAGGCCTGTGAAGGCCTCATGCTTTTGGTGAGTTTGCCAGAACCAGCAGCTGCCAAGTGCCTGACTCAAAGCACTTGTTTATGTGAATTGTTGACAGACAGGCTGGCCACCCTCTACAAAGCCCTGCCTCAGTCACTGGATCCCTTAGACATTGAAACAGTGGAGGCAATTAACTGGGGGTAAGAATTTTATTTTTGTCTTTGAAACCTAAAGTGACTTTACACCCCTCCCTGAAACTAATTTTATATGTAGATAAGGTACATAAAATACTCCCCCCTCCATGCTAAAGCCTCAGGAGCAGTGCTGAGATACCAGCTGTAGCACAGTGGTACAACTCGTGATTTCTGACATGGGACCAGGTTTGCCTGCCAGGCCCTTGTAGGGATTCCTCAGGGGGCAAGTTTTTCCACTGAATGATGTTAGCAGTTTGTGGTGGTGTCGCTGTAGTATCAGGTGTGGGTTATAGTCTCATGCAGATGTCAAAGATTTAGGAAATGTAAACTTTTCACTGTAGTCAGTGGGCACTGTAAGATCCTAAGGGGGGCAGGAAGGGTGGATTTGGTAACAGGCTGTTCTTGCACAAGTTTTGCAGCAAAAAAGAAGAAGGAAAGAGTTACTGCATAACTCATCAGCATGAAGCAAAAGATACATGCCTGGCACCCTGACTGCTTGCATGTTAGATTCTCAAATCATTTCTCTTTCCCACTCTACCTCAGTTATTATAAACTGCTCGTGATCTGTTAGTACTGACACAACAAGTAGGTGTTTGCCAAATATCCACCAAAATTTCTGGTGGTTGGAGTTTGAAGTTAGAAGGGGAAAAGCCACAATATTGATTTGTGGGATAAATCGTTGTTGGGGTGCTTTTCCCAAGAAAATGGTGTATTTGTTACTCCTTAGAGCCCTTAAATTGAGATACTTTTTTTTTTTTTTCTGAAAGGTACAGTCTAGTTCAGGTGTGTGGTTTTGGTGGACTTGCTTGAGGTCACTTACTGAGTAGAGCAGAACAGTTGCCTTCATTTTATGATTCTGTGACTACAGGAGTTATTGATTCAGTTCCTGTGGTCCATGTTTCCTGGGAGAAGAAACTAGGTGATCAATTTTCCCTTCTGACTCAAGAAATGGTTAACCAGAGTTGTTCTGCTGTGCCTACTGTGTATCCTTTAGCATGCCACACCACCTGTGTAGTGATGGTACTGCCAGATTAGTAGAGGTTAGCAGAAAAGCTTTTTTAATGTTCACTTCATTGCAAGTAGGTCATTAATTATTCTGTTAGGTTCAGTAAGAATGAAGTCCAAGATTCATCTATTACTTGCAGACTAAATAAATATTTTTCTCTGTGTTCTCTAGTTTGGATTCCTATAGCCACAAAGAAGATGCATCTGCTTTTCCAGGGAAAAGAGCGTTGATTTCGTTTCTTTCTTGGTTTGACTACTGTGATCAACTCATCAAAGAAGCACAAAAGGTTTGAAATGTGTTCAGATGATACAAATGTATTCCGTAAATGAGTGGTTCCAGTTGTTTCTTAGCTTTTGAGTTTGAGACACCCATTTTGTACTTTTGTTTCAGACAACTGCTGTTGCTATGGCAAAAGCTGTGCGGGAACGATTTTTCATTGATGTTATGGAACCTCAGCTGATGCAAACGTGAGTAGCATCCTACAAGACACAGCAGGACTGAATCTGAATCAAACTGATTGTTTTATCAGCTGAAATCCACTACACCTCTGATACAAAATATTTTGTTCAGTTCAGAGATTGGAATCCTCACATCAACTGCACTCTTGCATCGCATTGTTCGTCAGGTGACTTCAGATGTCCTACTGCAGGAACTGGTGTATTTTATACTGGGAGAACACAGAGAGCCAGAAACTTTGACAAACATCAACAGACATCCGCTGCGACACAGGTTAATTGAACACTGTGATCACATCTCTGATGAGGTGAGAGGTGATGCTGACACATTGATGTCTGCTGACCAGTTCTGGCTTGCAGAGAGTCTGTAAAGATGCCATTGTGAGGAGTTTTCATATTTGTGTCAACTAACTTTTTTGCCAAGAAAAAGAGTTCTGACTGCCAGCCCTACAAATTCCCTTTAGAAAATTAAAGTCAGGCTGTTTTCCCCACCTAACATGAGGTTCCATTTACTTAAGATTCTTTGCTATGTTGCTTGCCCACTATGCATATCTAGTTAGACTTGCTTGCCTGTAAGATAAGGCAAACTCAGCTTCTGTGATTTGTGCTTTGTTATGTGTTATGTTGTTGTTATTTTCCATGCTGAGTAGTTAAAAGCTTGGGGTTTATATAAAGTGTGGTCAGAGAATATACACAACATCAATTAAAAGGTGATAAAATAAGTTTAACCCCTTTACACACAATAAACATTGCTAAAACAATCTGTCCTCAGGAGCTGCTTGTTGCATTTTGTCCGTGAAAGCACCTCCACCCTCTGGTTTTTCAAATGAAACCCAAGCTTGCCTGAAATACAGATCTCTGCCTTCTCATATCCATTTTTCCAGTATGCTTACCTGCTCACCCTGTCAGAATGAGTTATCTGTATAAATTGGTTGGTCTTTGAAAAGCTAAGCACTTTAAAGCAGCTGTTAAAAATTGTGTCTGTATTGCTTTAAAGTCAGTCTCCTTTTAAAAGCCTACATAACAGCTCTGTTAGCCTGTAGTTCTAGTCACAATATCCCAGTATTACTTTCTTCTATTCTGGGCATTTATTACTAAATTTAAACCCTGTTCTGTGTCTCATTTGCACAATGATAACCATCTTCCAGCATGGATCTAATTGTAGTACAGAAAGCTAAATTGTGAATTCTCTGGATGTTCTTTGTATTGTTATTTCGACAGATTTCAAAACAGTCAATAATTAACTGCAATGTTTTAGTATGTACACACCAGATAGAAGGCAGAAAGCACAGGGCAGCAGTGCATCAGTTTATTGAATGTTTACTTTTTTCTGTTGTAGATCAGCATAATGACTTTACGAATGTTTGAGCACCTTTTGCAAAAACCCAATGAGCACATTCTTTATAATTTGGTTCTGAGAAATCTAGAAGAAAGAAACTATATAGAATACAAGCCTCTCTGTCAAGAAGATAAAGATGTGGTAGAGAATGGACAGATTGCTGGAGCAGTGTAAGTTTCATTTTCAAGGGAGGTTTTCACAACAGCTAAGTTGGATCTTTATTTTTAGAACAAAACAGGAGTTTCTTTTCAGTAATTGAAAGACAAGTGAGCTTGGATAGCAGTTGAGTGCTCTGTGTATTAATCCATATCCATAAAGTGATACGGAAATTATACATCAGCCAAGTATGGAAATTCTTAGAGCAGGAAAACTAAAATTACCACAAGCCTCTTTGCAGAGCAATAGGCACTTAAAGGTATTCATGTCTCAATTTACTTATGCATCTACCTATCTTAAGTCCATGCACATTTGTATTGTAATCAGTGAGTTTGTTCTTGAAGTCAGTCACTTAGGTGTCTGGCTTACATTTATGTTCTGGAGTCATTTTTTGATGGAAGAGCTTTTCTAGGACACTACATAAAATCCTTTTAAATATCCTATGTAACTCTTGTAACTCATTTTTTACTGATGGAGGGGTAAGAACTAGCCACATTAGCGTTTTTAGTCATCTAAAATATTTTAAAGATTTCCTGGAGTATAACTTTGTCTCATGTGAAAAATGTGGCTAAAGAGTTTAAGTGACTTAATGCAGTAATTTTGGACGAGGCAAAAATGCCTGCTCTGTTGTTGAGGTAGTTGGGTGTTTGTAAAGGTTGGTGCTTCTGCATATTCATTAGTTCATAAGATGTGGAGATGGTATTGTTCTGGAAAACATCCTACTTGCTCAGAGAAAGAAACAAAGAATACATGTCTGGTGTCCCAGAGATTCTCCTGCTTTCCATAACATTCTGTGAATGATTATATTTTTGTCTGATACAATCTCACAGAGACTTGGAGGAAGATCCGTTATTTACTGATCTGTCTCCAGATAACACGTTGTCAGCTCAGGAGTGGCTCAGTGCTTCTCCACCTGTCAGTCCAGAACATCCAAAAAATGATGGGAAGACTGAAGTCCATAAAATTGTAAATAGGTAAGTTGAAACAAAGACTTAGAGAAGTGTCTGAATGTGTGGGTGTCTGCACACACTGTGCAAATTAACTGCACTCTGTAATGGATGTTATTCTGTGCCAGCTGGGAAAATGACTCCACAGAAGGAAATTATGTGGCATTTTATCAGAGAGCTACTTCTGAAAGATTAGAGCTTGCATAAGTTAAAATAATTCAACATAAATGAGAAAAATAGAAGGACTTTGCAGCTGATAGTCTAGTCGAATACTCAGAATTCATGAGGAAAGCCTCGTTGATTATCAAACTTCCTTTTCACAAAAATACTTGGTTTTCTGGAGGACTGTGCAGAGCCTTGCCATAAATGTTTTAGGGCCAAAAAAACCCTCAAACTTCCTAAAGTTCCTTAAACACATACATAAAAGTAAATGATTCCCATCCTAGAGATAACCTTCTGTTCCCTGAAAATCACGGGCTCCTCTGTCACCTGGAACATACCTTAGTGCCTGTTAGAGGTACTGCAAATTGGATATCACAAAGAGGACAAGCTCTGCTCTAAGCAACTTAGTGATGGTAATTCTCTTAGGAACTAATATTAGGACAAAGTCTGTTTGCTCTGTTAATGCATGGGAGCAGAGCAGCACTGGTATGTCAGTGCTGACCTATCTACTTACCCAGAAATAATCAAAGGTGTTAGCCAAAGGAAGCAAACAGCCCTAGGACAGGCAGGACAGAATGGCATCGTCACTTCTTGCCCTCTGTACCCCAGTGCTGCTATATATAGTTTATGGTGGACATGGTTTGGAGCAAAGACACGAAGAACATTCTCCTAAATTCACCTCATATCATCTTCATCAGTAAACAGAAATGTTTCAGGATTTGCAGTGTTTTGCACATTTGTTTTTGGTCAGATAAGATGTGTTCCATATAAAAGGTCAGATACTACATATTTCTGCATATAAATCTTACAGGAGTGTCCAGTAGCTCTTGGGCTGTGGAGAAAGCTGAAATTTGGGATCATGGTCCAAGAGTTTTATTTTGTTGTCCAGAAATTTAAGTGGGTTTAATTTATTTTTTTCAAAGACAGTTATTAATATGATTCAGAAGTTCCTGATTCCTATTGGTGAAGTAATAAGGCAAAGGCAATTATATTTGTAAGTGGGACATTTATATGCAAATACTCCCTTATGTCTTAGATGTTCATTTTGTGCCACAACAAACTATGGTAAATAAAACTACCTATGAAGTAGGTTAAGAAGAATTGTAACTGCAGTTCTTCTCTTTTGGCTTGTTTATTCTCCAGTATGTTTTGGGGTTTTTTAGCTCTAGTAAGATAGAGTCTGACCTTTAGCAAATACTTGGCCTGGTTGTGAATATTGCTTTTCATCTCCATTCTGTCTGCTAATCCTCAGAAAATGCTTCCATTGAGGATTTTACCTCAAGTGCTAGATACAAAAATTCTGAAGTGTATCTCTTGTTATTACAAACAGTAGTTGGAATAGATACGCTTAAATAGATTTTGTATTCTCTGTTCTTCATGTAAAGTTATGGCAGAGCCTGTAGATTAATTGCCCAGACAATTCAGTATTGTGTACCCTGTTACAGATGATGAGAAAGTATTGATCTGGTGCTCTGTGGATTTATAGATATTCATTAATGTACTTTTGTTCTCTTTAGTTTTCTCTGTCTTGTACCTGATGAAGCTAAGTCATCATACCATGTGGAGGGTACAGGTTATGATACTTACCTCAGAGATGCCCACAGACAAGTAAGTCACTGAAGTCTCCCTTAGTCCTTGAGAATTTGAAATGCTTATGAGAATATACAAATGGTTCTGTAAATAGTCCTACTAAATGCATCTTTTGGTAATGGAAAATGGGAAAATTCAATTTCCATTTTCTAATGAAAACTTACCTTTGGAGATCTTTTGACGGTGAATTCACCTTGTATTGCTCTAGGGGGAATAATGGATGACATTAAATGCATTAATATTCATCTAACAAATACAGTGAGAGAAAATCTGAGCTGCAGGTAGATTCTTAATTTGCTTTTGCATTTATCTGCATTCTCTTGGAGAATTGCCTGCCAAGCTGTTTGAAAGAGCTAAAGAGAAATTAAAATGCTGCATAGGAGTTATGCAATCTGGGACTTGGAAATAAAGGCTCATCACAGGGAATGTGCAGCCTAAGGCATTCAGGTTTGAAGTTGGGAGGTTGGGTAGATAGGGAAAGCTTAATGATTTACTGTTTTTAAAAACAGGCAAGTTTTGTTTTTATAAACATAATACAAAGTTTCGTTGGTCAGCGAACAATCACTGTTTGTTTGCAGCTTTGTTACTGAAGTCCTGTGAATCTTCTAGAATAGAAAAATTTTTGCAAAGGAGAAGAGTCACTGAGAGAGCTATATTTAGTAGGTAATTCAAAAATTCCATAACCTTGGAATTACGTTATCAGCAGTTTGAGATGGGGAGCTTGGATTTCTGCATTTATTATATTGTTTTATCTGTAGTGTAGGAAAGAGAATAGACAATAGAGAATAAGGAAACAAAGGTTGATGTAAAATCCCCCTATGTTCTATTCTTGGATGCCAGAAACCACTTATCATCTTTGTCTTACATGCCTTGGGAAAAAGAGTATTCTGGGAGTTATTAGAGAGCAGAATTGGTTTCTGTCACTTCCTGGTCATGATATGGCCACTGTTAAAATATTTCCCCCCTGCCTGTTGCTGTTATTACATCCAAATAGCTGTTCTGCTTCCATATTTCTGTTTCTGGAAGCCTGCACAAATAGGTAAACTACATGCAGTGCAGAATTTCTGAGTCTGTTGTCTCTCTATTTTGCATCATTTTATTCCTGTGTTCTGTATTTTCTCTGCTATAACCTTTCAAGGGATAATTCCTTGAGAGTGAGACATCAGCCAGCCCCCAGCAATTGAGTGGCAGAGGTTGAGAAAGTCTGTTAGGGGTGATAGGAAATAAACAGAGGGAAGAGAGAGCCCTGAAGTACTTTTCATTTGTATCTTCTGCATATATAGATGCCTTTACTGTCCTGGGAATTAGGAAGCAATAGGGTATAGATAGCAAGCTAATCTACACATAATACAGTGGAATTGTGGTAATGTACTGACAAGAAGAATGTTTGAAAATGCAATTCCTGGTGTAGAAGAGCCCTGATCAGGATGAATATGGATGTGTTTTGGCCGAGCTGCTTTTTGGCACCTCTGTTCTGCACTCACTGTTTCTCAAACTCCCCTAATAGCAGGAGTGTTGAGAGGAAAAGGAGGTGCCTGCTGATCATGTTTCTGCTGATAATGTTTCCTTTAGAATGACTTGTCTTTTAGCTTAGATTTCTCACTTAGCTACAGATTATGGTTGTAAGGTGTATGGACTGTCCAAAGGAAATTAAATGGTTTGTATGGAGGTTTAAGTCTGTTTCCCTCACTGCTTTTTTTCTAGTTCCGGGATTATTGTGTCGTTTGCTTACGCTGGGAGTGGCCTGGATCTCCCAGATCTTTGGAGAAGTGCAATTTAGAAGCGCCATTTTTTGAAGGACACTTCTTGAAAGTCCTGTTTGAAAGAATGGGCAGGATTCTTGATCAGGTAAGAAGCAACAGCTAAGGAATTACTTTTCTAAACTAAAGGGCTGTTCTTTGTTAAGGTCCTGTGGACTTTCATCCCTCAGTCATCTATTGTAGTGTCATATTATTGTGTCATGTCCCATGTCCTTGGTGCAGGTTCCTGTAGATTGCAGGATCTTACAGTTATCAGTATTATCAGTTTAACAAAAGTAGAGAACAAAAACTCTCTTATCTTTGTTAGGCACCTTTTTTTGTGCACCACATGTTTTATTGACTGGAAATATCCTTTAAATTGAGTAAGAAAAGAATATCCTTAAGATAAAAGATGAGGGTAGGATAATATCTTAGGAATCCTTTGGTACTAGCATCACTGGTTCTGTTTTCATTTTACAGCATTGGCATTTAGGAAACATGTACATATTTCTGTAAATAAAATAGTGAACAGCTTCTTTCTGCCACATTTCAATGAACTTCAATCTGAAGTCTTGTTCAGGAAGCAGTTTACATCACTGTGTGAGATGAAAAGAATTTACTGTATCACTGCTAACATTTTCCTCATTTTTTCAGAGTTTTTAAAAACCTGGAGGGATCCTTTTCTATCTGCAGCATGATTATCCTGTTTGATTATTTTCAAATAAAGACAAACAAATGAGATAGAGTCTGAATGGCTATTCTCAAAAGGAGGTGTGACATGTCCAATCCAGATTAGTACAGAGGAAATTAAAGAAAGGGAATTTGCCTGATGCCTGTTTGTTTCTGTATTTAGCTAGTTTGCATGACCTAGTCATTCTGGGGAGAAAGTCAGGGGTCAGAGAGGTGAAAAGGAGGTTGTCCTTTGTGAAAACTTAATGTTCCTTTGTCCCTCTGAACTCTGGGCTTACATTAGTCAAGCCAACCTTACTGCTTTAGATCAAGAAGATAATTTTTCTTTCCAGTGAAAATGAGCCCTGAAGGTCTCAATCACCCTCCCTGTAATACCTGCTGGTGTTGCTACAAATGCAGTAGTACCAGTTTCAGAAGCTTGCACAATTCTCTTGTGCTCTGCACATGGAGCTACCTACAGTAAACAGTTGTGGCAGTGCCAGATTTCCTGGTCATAAGCAGGACAAGAGTCATTTGAACATGCAAATGCACAGGGAATATGTCAGGAGGCATTAGTAGCCTCTGGGTCAGCTCTGTGAGTGTTCAGGGGAACACTCCATGATTCTATGGTATCAGAAGACTTTGCAGAGGTGGTAGGTATCACTCACCTAGTTTCTGACAGAAGATAGCTGAGGCACACAAGTGAAGTAACTTGTTTCAACTACCTCATCTGCTAGACACTACCTTCTTCTTCCTGGAAGTTCCTGCTGGAACTGACTTGTTTCCTAAGAATTATTTTTTTTTAAAATTTCCTGAACTTCAAATTTTACTGGGTTTAATCTTTTAAGTGACAGAGAATTTTTTTAGGGTGGTATCTGATACGGGGCCATCTTACTGAGTCTGCTGACATATGGACAGAAATAAAAGCTCTGTGTGAAAAAGCAGCTTTCCTTAATGCTCTCAATTAGTTCAAATCACAACAGCAATCTGTCTGAACAATGCAGCACATGTTACTACTTTGTTTCCTTCTCTCCTTGTGAACACCAGATAATGCTCATGGCTTCAATGCTTCCTAATGAATTGACTGACTCAAACAGCTCTAAAGACCTTCTCCTACCCTTCAGCTAGGTAGGCAGTGAATGGATTTATGGAAGGAATTTGTGTCTCTCTCTGCAGAATAGCTCTGCCATAATAACTTAAAGTGTAGTGATCTCTTTTACCTATAACATTTCTGGACCAGGATCTGAAAGCTTCATTTGTTAGAAGACTGGAATGAATCAATTGATAAATCTATCAAGTACAGAAGGAACTGCCACTGCCTGGAAGAAATACATGCTTTCACTTCCAAAGATCTGTTAGGCAACTTTGCAGTGCAACAGTGTGTGGTAACAAACTCAGGAATGAGGTACCTAAATATTGGTTAGGTGTCCACCCCTAGTCATTGGAAATTTTGTCAGAACAGCCCCAGTAGCCTCTGGTGCTCTTGGGCTGAAAAGCAAGTAGGTGTCTCTTTTAATGCAATGTGAATCACCAACTCAGCTTCCTCGACTGTATAGACTGAAAGCTCAACTTAAGTGCCTGAACTGAGGTGTCTGTTGCCATTTTTGTGATGCCCAAGATGCTTGTGGTTATAACACAGATCTTGCAGGTTCCACCCTCTGTGGACCCTTCAAGAGACCAGCAGATATTCTGGAGCAGCTGAGACAGCAGGAGATGCTTGTGTAGGCAAATGTACCAAGTGTCAGACCTCTCTTGAGTAGGCTAATGCAAGCTTAAACATGGAGACATAGCTAAATATACCTGTCTTAATCTGGGGCTGAATTCTTTCAAGTCTTCCAAATCTGAAAAGGAGAAGAATCAGTTCTCTGATTCTTCAGTATTATGCTAACTTGAGACCATAAAGATGGTAACTTGAGGTCATTAAATCATCCTTTTCTAGATGTGGTTATGCCAGTGAGGATGTTACTGCCAATATGCAGTCACGGAAATGAATGACGGTCCTGAAACCCACTTAAAACAACAAGCTTGATTGACACAGAGGTGTACCAAAGGAATGTCTGTCCACCTCTTGTCAATGTAGTCTGTTCTCCCATTGAATAGATGGAAGGAAATTCCACTAGTTTGCAAGTTTTGGGCTGAATTAAAATGTCAGCTTGTATTCACTGTGATGAGAAAATCAAAGGTGGAATAAAAGTATTTGGAACATAAGGAAGCTATGGTGAAAATACTTCCTTTTATGGAAATGAGTTTCTTACTCATTCTTACTCAATGGTAAAATCCTTTAAACTAGACATTATTTTTTTCCCTAGTAAATTAGGTACTATTTTTTCCAGTACCTGACAGTGTTGCATCTCCCATTTGGTTGATTTGGGGAAAGGAGGCAGAGAAAAAGCTCATATTTTCATGGTGCTTTTGCAGCCCAGGACTGTTTGATCTCCCATAGCAATGTTATCACAAGATGATGAGACCTGCTGCAATGGGTGTTTCCCAGAAAAACTAAAGGAGAAGAGAAACAACATATTAGCCATTAACATGGGTTAGTCTCTGTCAATCTCCTGAGCTCATATACTTCCCAGTTTTCCAGGTGAAGCAGGCAGATGTTTAATCTAGGCTGATTCCATGCTAGATGTTTAGCTGAAGAAATGTTTACAGGAAGAGGACCTACCCTACAATAAATAAGTGTGCAAAAGCTTCAAGTGTCTGTAGCAGCTATACAGATAATAACATCTAATACACAACTTTCATAGTCACATCACTGCAGAGATTGGACTTGTCTTCTAATCAACCTTTTTATCTTTTTCTTTTCATAACCCTGTATATAAGGTTCCTAGGAGATAAATAACACGGGCTGGATGAAAAGAAGACGGCAGGAAAATAACTGAGCACTGTGTTTTCCTTTTTTTTGCAGCCCTATGATGTGAATTTACAAGTTACGTCAGTGTTGTCCAAACTGTCCCTGTTTCCCCATCCCCATATACATGAATACCTGTTGGATCCTTATGTAAACCTTGCCTCTGGCTGCAAGTCTCTCTTCTCTGTGATAGTCAGGGTGAGTAAACACACAATTAATATTTACATATGTCTGTACAGCAGTAATATGTTTAGTAACTTTGGAGTTACTGCTAGATGTTGCTGAGTAGCTTAAGTTGGCAAATAGTTTCTCATTGAAAGCAGATACTTACATTCTTGATTTGGGTCAAGATTTTCAGTTTTCTACCAAAACATTGGAAAGTTACTTCTCTGTCCTTATGCCTTCAGAACTGTTTGTTGCTCAGTTTCATTGGGTAGATGCAAGGTGTCCCCTCTGGCAGTGGTGTTGCTTTACACTGGACGAGGTCACGCTGCTGTCACTTGCAAGCAAAGTCAGGTAGTGCCATAGGAACAGGCCAAGTAAAGGTTTGCACCTGGATAGGAAAGAGATGGCTTCTGTACACACACAAGAACACTCCTTAATACCCTGTGCCTGGGGGGATATCTCTGCTTATGCTCTTTCTTTTTCTGATGAAAACTGTTCATGACAATGAAGTCCTAGATGTATCAAAAGTCCCTTTCTCTCTCTAATTCTGTCTCTTCCTGCCAGACCTGCATCCTAGATGTGCTGGCTGGGTGCCTCTGACACTGCAGCCTTCTCAGCCAGAATCTCTGGCTTACCCCACACACCAGCTGTTACTAGGCTGGTCAGGAGCCTATTAACAATGCTTGCCCAGTACTAACAGAGTACTAACAGCTCCCTCCTTCCCAGCAGCCCTCCCCATTTCAAAATGCTATCTTCACTCTCCCCCCTGTGCTTTCCCTAACCCAGGAATTTACTGGTCAGTTTCCTGCGTCAACCTTTACTTAGACAAACTGGTCATCAACATAATTTAAATAAGTAATGCCATTTGTGACAGCAGCAAGTAAGGCTTTTGTGTCTCTTTACTTTCTGCCCCACTCGCCCTGTTTCGGGGCAGAGCAACAATTCTGCGTGTTGTTTTGTGAGGCTGGAGTGGGTCTGTATTCTGGGCACTGTCATTTAACCTGTTGCCAGGCACACTCTGCAGAGGTGCTAACTTTGTGTGTCGATGGCATTGGGTTTTACAGGTGGTTGGCGACCTCATGGTTAGAATCCAGCGCATCCCAGATTTCACTCCCAAACTTCTGCTGGTCAGAAAACGCCTGCTGGGCATGGAGCCAGAAGGGCCCATGTGAGTAAATACATTGCATATTCTCCAAGACCTGTGGCTGGGTTTGTGCATGCCAGTGCTGACTCCCTGCGATTTTTCTTTCCGTCTCAGCATTGACCACATGACGTTACTAGAGGGCGTGATAGTGCTGGAGGAGTTCTGCAAGGAGCTGGCAGCGATCGCCTTTGTGAAGTACCACGCCTCAGCCACGCCGTAGGCAGCCTTGGTGGAGCCAGGCTGAGCCACCACCTGGCTGGGTTCAGCCAAGGGTCTGTTGACAACACCCGGATGAGAAGAGGTGGTGCCTCCTGGCAGCGTCAGAATTGGAAGAGAAGTTCCTTTCACCAGATGTTGGATTGCAAGAGAGAGGGATCCGAATGGACCTAGAATATGAGTGAAGGCATTATTGGAAAAACCAATACATAGCATTTCTAGCCACTGTGTGAAGAGCTGCAGAAGCTGCATGAAGAACCACAGACATCAGACCTTGGTTATTCTAATGGCAATGTTTAGAGAGTTTGGTCTTTTGTATGTTCTGGGGCTCACATGCACCAACTTGCTCTTTGTGACCATCTTTTAAAAAGAAACTTAATTTGATAACATTTTTATGTCTTAATTCTTTTTCTTTTCAGTTGGATATATGAAAGAAAATCATAATTATAGTTGCAATGTATGTTATTAAAAATTAAGAGGTTCAAGAAATCCACCAATCCATATACAGTAGGATATGTTAAAGGGAGATCATTTTTGGTTTGGTGGATTTTAAAGGCAACTCTGAGCTTGATTCCTCAGTGGAATCCAAGAGATTTAACAGTATAAAATCAGTACTAGTGAAATTAATCCTGATTTGGAATCACATCCTTGACAAATATATCTGAAGGTTTTATAAGTGTTTCTAGCATGTGTCTATCATTCCAAGCAATTGATCTCCAGGTCATCTGTGTAACTAGATTTGCTTTAGGTTTTTGCATGCAGATTCTTGTTTGATTCATGTCACCTTTGTAGAGAGGTTAATTATAGGTCATCAGTAATTGTTTCTGAACCAGTACTTTTAATTTCTTTTAAATTGGTATTTAGCCTGAATTGGTTTAAGAATCTTTTGTGCCTTTAAAATTGGCAGCATAAACATTGTGTTCTTTTTGGAGATGCTTTTATTGCTTATCTAACCATCACAGTGATGCCAATTCAGTTAATGCATTGATACTTTATATAGGACCAAAATGTGCACCTGCTTTTCCTAGTGCTGGGATGCAGGAAAAAAAATGAATCCATCCATCAGCCAGGGCAGATGTTTGCAATGCAAACTGAGGGTCACTCCAGCATGCTTTGCTTCTGTTGGTGGCACTTCAGAGAGTCCTTGCAGTGACTGCCATGTGCATTGGCAGGTGTGGGTGGCTGTGCTTGAGCCTTCCAGTCACACCAAGTTTGGGTCAGAGACCTGTCCTGCTCTCCACACAGCTGTGTAGGACCTCTTTCCCCTCCTATGAACAGAACAGCATAGACAGGCAAGAGCCTAGCTCTTCCTGCCTCCTCTTACTGCTTCATGTGTCTTTCCTCCTGCCCGGTTTGCACAGCTCATGCCCATTTAGATGTGATTGCTCATATGCAAATAGGAGCTGATTTACTCAGTCGCTAGAAATTTTCTGGATTTACATGACTGTACCTAGAATCAGATCCTGCTCTGAATCCATGCCTTTGAGGTCTTGTTTTTAATATTTATGGAACCTGAGTGTTGAGAGGCCTTTTAAGTCAGCAGGTTAATTAGAGCAGTGTCACAGTTAATGGGCTAAATTTATTCTTGTCTCCAGTGAAAAGGGCCCTGCTGTAAAAGCTTCCAGTGCAGGTTCAGCTGGAGAGAGCAGTTCTGGAACTGGAGAAACATTTTGGCAGGTAAAACCTGTATGCAGTGGCTCCCTGTACTGGGACACTTTTATTAAAAGCATAACATTTCTCTGGCAAACACAAACACCTCTCCTGTTCAGCTTTATTCCTCAATTTAGCCCCAAAGTGTTTTCAAGTCTAAGTAGCATAATAGGATAAAGTTTTTTAGAATGACACTTTTTTTCATTCTTTAGAAACATACCTTGAAATAGCAAATCATTTTTAGTGATCTGTATTGCAGTCAGTCCACATTAGAAGCTTCATTCATACCTGACACATAGTTGAGAACATGTTGATGTCTATGCAGAGCAATGTTTAATACATACATTTGTTATACATCAGGTCCCAATTCAGCAAAACAGTTATACATGAGCTTAATTTAAATAATCTTACTCTAAAATCAGTCTCTTACGTGAACAAAGCTGTTGAGCACAAATGCTGATGCTTTACTGATTTGTGTTTTTGTTGGTTGAGCTTAATTACTTTTTCCTCAACTTTTCTATGTTAATTATTTATTTTTTTAAAGTGTATGCTCCGGAATACTCCTAACGTTCCAATTTTAGTGGAAACTGGAAGTGATAATATTACTATAAATGGTAGTGTGACAAATGTTAAACAAAACTTGCAAGAGCATTCCAAGTAATGTAAGAATTTATAGAGCCTTCAAAAGATGCCTGATCTCCAAGGAAAGCATTAACATCACCCCTTTTGTTGTCATTGCTGTTCTCACCCACACCTGAGCTCGTTCTACTGCAAGGGATTGTATCCATCAGGCACTGGAAGCACTGCTGCAGGCTCTGGGGCAGGTTAGTGCAAAACACTCTGCAAACACAGTTCCTTAGGCTTGCCAGGGAGAAAACCAAGTAGATAAAACTATAATCACTCTTAAAGTCAGGCTGTAATTTTTCAGTCTCCAGTGACATTGATGATGTTCTTGCAAAACAAATGTTATTTAGCTGATAAATTTCCAAGACATGGATCCATCCTGATAGAAGTGAAGCAATCCTTAAAGTTGCTTTAGCCTAAACTGCTTTTGTGAGTGCTGCCTACAAACCCTTAATTACCACACCTGATGGCAATGACCTTTATTTTTGTAAAAGTGATTTAATCTTCCTTAAGAGATGAACTCATTTAATTATATTTTTTTGTGGTGATATTTTTCATGCACTTTTTTTTGAAGAAGAAAAAAGTTTAGAAGTTAGTTGAGGTCCATGTTTTCACCTTTTCAATCTATGCATGTCACTGAGGTGCCCATTTTGTTCCCGTGTGTGTGTGTTTGTATGTGGTTATTTATTACCCCAGAGAGGGACACCTGAGAAAATAGAAGGCCTGAAGAGTTCATGGCATATGCAGATCCTCCAGATGTCAGTGGGAAAAATGAGTGCTTGTCACCTTAGAAAATAGGGCCACTAGTGTTAGATTGAAATACTTGAGAGGCAATACTAGAATAATTTTTTATTTCAAAAAGCAAATCCAAACCACATTTTAATCCTGATGCACATGTGTGTAAATAGAAGCATTTTTTTACTTTTTGGGCTTTTTCCATTTCTAGTATGTATTTGATTTAGACTCTGATTTAGATTGGGTAATAAGCCATGTGCTAGCTCTGGTAGAATAAGTTTGTCCTTAGTTTCTCATATGACTGTAATATTCCTGGTATTCAGAGCCTGTCCTTGTAATGTTCTGACTCTGTATTTGTCTGTGCAATATAAAAGCTGTGACTTGATGCACAGCTTGAGTCTGGTTGTACATCACCTATGTATATATATACATATATATATATATATGTAAGAGGACCAGAATCCCGAGCTTGCTTACACTATGATTAGTGTAAAGATTGCCACACTTGATTTTACAGGGCACAAGTCATTATGGAATGGCTTTGTAAATGCATGGTAATTCCTACCATAACCTGCTGTGTAATTTCACAGATGACATTTTATTAGTGCTGTTTGTCTGCTAAAAAGAAATACTAAACTGAAGTGTTAGCTAAGGTCGAAGGGTCATGTAGTAGACTTGGGGCTACATGGAAAATCCATACCTGATAAATGCTTTCTGTGCCCTGTAAAATAGTGTAACTATATAAAATATATACTCCTTGTTTTGCCTCCTGCCTTGTTTACATTAAACAGAGGATATTCAGTAAAACTTTTCTATAAAACTTTGTGGAGGTCACTTACTGACAGCATTGCCAAGGTTTCACAGGTGTGGGATTTCCAATGAGGAATTGTTGAAACAGCCACATCACCAGGCATGCAATATTTAGTTTTATGAGAGAGGTTGTGATAAAATCCAACTTTTTGTGCTAAAAAATGCATGGAGGATTAAAAGGGATATTCTCAAAATAAATTAATTTCAACGAAGCGACTGCTTCTGTTATTACAGGATCCATAATAGCTTATGTATGGATGAGTCTGAGACAGAATGTGTTTTAACATTTTACATCATGCCTTGGATCCTGAAGTCTCCATTTATTTTGAGTCTGTCACTGCAGTGTCTTCTGGGATAAAGCTGCTGCCTGTGCTGTGCTGTGTGGGGCCACAGTGAATCAGCGTGCACTTGCCCATGGAAATTGGAAGCTAGGGGAAGTGGCCAGGATGGAGCCATCCTGAGCACAGATTAACATCTGCTCTTTCCTGAGAGCCCTGATATCTTTGCAGGAAGACTGCAGCTGGTCAAGACCTCAGTTTTCTATTGCATTTGAGTGCAGAGTGCGTCAGTCACAACATGAGCTTATTGAATTGGGGACAAATGCCACGTACGTGAGTAAGCATCACTTCTTGGGGGCCCTCGAGGAAGGCTTTTATACATAGAGCTTTAGGTATGTTTTTAGGTATTTTTAAATTGCATTTGTTGTGTATTTCTTTCTAGTTTTTGGTGTCCTTCAGGTTTTTGTCAGCCTTTTAAAAATCTCGTCTCTCTGTAGGATCCCCTCTGAGGGCTACACTTGGATGTTAAGATGTTTCTCCTTCTCAGTGTTTAACAGCTGCAAGTGCTCTTGCAAGTTTAACAAGAACGGTGCTACAGCAAGATGATGCACTTGACAGCTTTTTTTATAGCTCTCAGCATCTTTCCCCCATCCTCTTGGGTCTCAGAGATTGTCATCTCCCACCCCAGATCATTGATTTACTCTGACTGCAATGAGGCATTTAGAGATTTAGGGACACTTCAAGCAGTGTGGAAGTTCTATCAAAATTGAACATTTTGTATCTTCTTGAATTTTTCTCTCATTTCTCCTTGAAATGATTGGGTTATTGAAGCATGATAATCTCCCGGCACTTGCATTCTGATACAAGATTTTGGGGCTCTACATCCTGTTGGAACAAAACTAGAACCAGCATGTTGTCAGTGTGTGGTCTCTCCCTCATGTTCATTAACTCATTTTACAGATTCTCAGCCAGAGTTCTCAATGTAGATGCAAGTAGCACAGGATCTACTGAATTTGTTAACCTTCCAGTGTTAACAGAACTGGTGCTGTCAAAGCCTCAAGGATTTTGCTAGTTTGGTTTGTGATCCAATTGGATTAAAGTGGATTAATGCTCAGTGAAGTGAATCTGTCACAACTTGTATCAGCCCTTTCAGCCTAAACCCATGTGTTGCTGGTGCATCCTTTATCAGTTGAGGTTC